CACAATGCAGCGTCGGAAAGTCACAGGCCAGACGGGCGGCCTCGCACTGCAGCTGAGCGGGCTATCGTCTTCCAGACTAGCCGTGAGGTGAGCGCTCCAGTGGTCCGCGGGTGTGAGCGGGTGTGGCGGTAGGGGGCCGTAGGTACTGCCCGTCAGGACTGCGGTGGGGGGCGGTCGGGAAGTCTCGGGGGAAGCTCGCCTTGTAGATCTTGCCCGTCGTCAGGTTGTGGTCGCGCGTGAGCGTGACGCCGACGAAGCGCTCGTAGTTGCCGAGGTCGAGGTCGCCTACAGGAAGGTTCCGAGAAGTCTCTCCGGCAGGGGCTCGGGTCTCGCGGAGCCACGTTGCTGGTCAGGTCGAGGTCGCCCTCGCCGCCGTCGTCGAGCACGAACACCTGAAGGGGCGGCGGCGGGGGCAGGTGGAGGGAGGGAGGGGATTGGGGGAGGCGTGTGGAGGTCGAGAGTGGAGAGAGCGGGTGCGGAGCGAAGAGGGGAGGAGAGGGGAGAGAGGGTAGCGGAGAAGGGGGAGAGGCAAGGAGGGGGGCGGGGAGAGGGGAGAGGGGAGGGGCGAGGAGGGAGCGAGAGGCGAGTGGGGAGCGGGGAGAGCGGGGAGCGGAGAGTGGCGACGGGAGGAAGCGAGAGGCGGCTGGCATATGTGTTTGGACCGACGCGCCTCGCCGTGCTCAAAGGGCGACATGGTGCCGGCGTCGACGTTAAGATAGGGGTCGATCTTGACGGAGGTGACGCGGTAGCCCGACTGGCGCAGGAGCACCCCTAAAACCACGCGCGCCTCTCCGGTCAAGAGGGACGGCCGAGCCTGCAGCCGGCGGTGCGCGGCGAGGCGGTGCGGCACCGAGCGACGAGGCAGTGATGCCCTTGCCCAGGCCGGAGACGACCCCTCCCGAGACGACGACGTACTTCATCGGCGCCTTGTCGCTCTCAATCCGCGTCGGGTTCGCCGACGAGAGCCGGCGCATCAGCGGCGCGCCCTCAGTCGAGTCGCAAAAGCTGAGGGCGAGGAGCTCGCTCCCGAGCCGCAGTGATCGGCCCGGCTTCCACGCAAACGCGTGCGCCATGCCGGACGAGATTACGGAGCCCGACGATGCGACCAGCTCCACGGCTCCGTCGGCCATCCCCGCGTCCACCCGCAGCTGCTCGAAAAAATCGACGAGCGAATCGACGAGCGGGTAGGCGTAGATGCGAGACGGAGAGAGGGATGCGGACGAGACGGTGAGCTCGATGTGGCCGTCCTCCTCCGTCCGAGACACCAGCACCTCGCCCGGCTCAGCGAGGCCATTCATTTCTGACAGCGGGACCGAAGGATCGCAACGGCAACGACGAGGACCCGCGAGAGTGCTTGCCGCGAAAGATGAGCTCTGTTTTCTGTTTTTACGCTGCTCTACACAGCACGCCCGCCGGTTAAGCTGCGGTGCAAAACTCTTTTTACCACCTTCAGGTACACCCCCAAGACTCCCCAAAACCGCCCAGGATGAGCTCCTGAGGTGCCAGTCCGCCCGAGATATGACCGGTTGAAGTTGGGGTTCCACGGTCGGGATGGAGGTAGGTGTCGAACCGGATGGGGGTCAGCCGGGGAGGCTGTTGTGGCGCACCGGACCGCCCCCCAGCACCGTGCCCCACCCAACTGTATCCATGGGAGTCACAAACGGTGCTGCACTCGCGGCTGCAAGCACTGCACTCACGACACTCAAACCCACCCACCACCTGCCCCCTACCCTGTACGAGGAGCCATTTCACCCGTGCAACATCTGCACAGGTGTACCGCCGACGCTCAAGCGCCCGGCCCCTGCTAGAGTAGTCTTGTGGGACCCACAATCGACCAATACATCCACTCGGGGCTGCAGCATGTGTCCGGGGGGGGCATCCCTGTGAAGCAGCCAGCAGGTGCCGGACACAGCGTTGGCCGTCTTGGACCGAGATCAGGGCGCATCTGCCTATCTCGTGGGCTGAAGGACCGTCATGGGGTCGGCTTTGATGCTGCCAATCAGTCGGGTCGATAGGTGGCGCCCCGGCGAGATGCGCTGCGGGTGCTCGGCGTCGCCTGCTTGAGTGGCCTGAACGCACTCGCGGGAGCCAGATCCATGCAACCATATGGTGCGAAATCTTGTGCAGAAGCCACAGCCTCAGGGTACCCTATGAGGTGGCTAAGTGAGGGTCTCTGACCCACCCAAATAGTGCCCTTTAACTAACGGAGGCCTTTGGGGGCGACCCGGGGGCACCTCGGGGTCGCAGTAGCCCCTGACGGTCGAAACCGGACCCCGGACCGAAACACGTTTCGTGCGGTGGTGGAGTGGGACCGGATTCTCGCCCTTCTGGGCGCGGGACGGGGCCGGGGGTGGCAGGCAAGTAGTAATATGCCTTTAGAAGGTCTCGAGGGACACACACACTCTCTCGCGCCCCCCCACACGCTCTGGTGGTGAGGGATCGACGCGCCCAAAATTCGGCGAAATCTACGCCGGACCCGCGACACATGGATCGCCCCACGTCGCGCTTCAGATCAGCCCCACATATGCCACTTGCACAGTCCGTTTGGACCGGAAACTGCATCGCCTACATCTTCCGAAACTGGGAGTCCCGGCGCATCGAGGCGCATCTGCTCCCCATGGTGCCCCATTGCGTCGCTCCGGACCGGACCCCGTTTCGTGCGGTGGTGGAGTGGGACCGGAATCTCGCCCTTCTGGGCGCGGCCGAGGGTGGCAGGCAGTAGTGATATGCCTTTAGAAGGTCTGGAGGGACACACACACACACACACACTCTCGCCCCCCACACATGCTCTGGTTCTGGTGGTGAGGGCCCGACGCGCCCAAAATTCGGCGAATCAAATCTACGCCGGACCGGCACCGGGCGGAGCAACCCCCCTGGAAAGGCAAGAACCAGCTGCAACACCCTCCTTGTAGGCCTCATATTTGGCCTCGGCTCGCGCCGCCTCAGCCGCCCGCCGCGCGTCCTCTGCCGCCCGCCTGTCCACCTCAAGCTGCTGCACCTTCGCTTGCTCCACCGCCAGCCGTGCTCCCGAACGGAAGGCTTTCAAGTTTTGCGCGCGGAGCGACGCATTCTCAGCTTGCAGCCGCGCACTCTCCGTTTGCATCAGCAGTCGCCACAGATCCTTTCCTGGGCGAGCGACGAGGAGGAGCCTGCTGAGGCTGCGCCGCACGCTGCGCCGCACCTTCGAGCGCCTTCACCGGCTGCAGGATCCTTCTTCGTGCAAGTCGTTTTCGCGCCGCACCTGGCCCGCGGAGCGGCGGAAAGTGGCGGCTGCGGGAGTGGCAGCCTGGGCTATGCCCCCCCCCCCCCCCCCCCCCCTTTTGCTGCTCGCTGCTTCCTTTGGCCGGCCCAGCCCTCGAACCTCTGGGTTGCGGCTGGCCTCGGCTGCCTTTTCGGGGGCCGTTTTCGCTGGGGCCGGAGCTGCCTCGCCTCGTCGCTCTCTCGTGACTAAACTCGTCGCTCTCTGACAGCGAGGGTCTTGGGACCTCGCCCTCGACCACGCTCTCGCCCTCGCCCGCGTCCTCCCCTCGCTCCGCCGCAGCCGGCGCTGCAGCCGGGGCAACGCAATCATGGCAGTGGATGGGCCGGCCTCCCCGAAATCAAGCCGAAGTTCTAGAAGTGGTTCGCCGCCGCCGCGAATGGTTGTCGAAGTGTGTGCACTGCGGTGCCATCATAATGTCAACCACTCTGGCTTGGCAGATACACCACTGAGCAGGATCATACGCTGGTCAATTGGGCATGTTGTAGAGTTGCCGTGGGTGGGTAGCGATTTGAAATCTTGCACGAGACGTTCTTTGTGAGCCTTGCGCGCGTAAACCTGACGCGTCTCATTTCCTGTTCTCGAATCTTGCTTGACCAGTGTCTAAGTGTCGAGATCAATCTGTCGCTTGCCCCGCATCTCGAGCAGGGTCAGCTTCGCCTCCATCGATTGGTTGACCCAATGTCCGTGCATTACCAAGCATATGGTGCGAAAGCCTCAGGGTACCCTATGAGGTGGCTAAGTGAGGGTCTCTGACCCACCCTAATAGTACTCTTTAACTAACGGAGGCCTTTGGGGGCGACCCGGGGGCACCTCGGGGTCGCAGTAGCCCCTGACGGTCGAAACCGGACCCCGGACCGAAACACGTTTCGTGCGGTGGTGGAGTGGGACCGCATTCTCGCCCTTCTTTCTGGGCGCGGGATAAGATATACGGGCGACTTCACACCAGCCTGGCGCGGTCTACGTAACAACTGATTGAACCCTCCCGCACCCACTCCCCATACCGACACCATGTCTGGGGATGGGGAACCGACGCGCGGGAGGGATCATTTTCCTTTTTTTGGTTCTTTTTTCTCTTTCTTGGCGGCTCTTCCGCGCCAGGCTGAAGCGCTCCATAGCCTCTCCTCGCAACGACCACACAGCTCGCCATGCCGACCCGCAGCGCCGCTCGTGCGACGGACACGTGAGCAGCACCCACCGCGCCCGTCCCTGCGACGCGCGGCCGCACAGCAGCCTTTCGCAGCCGCCCGCCTCTCTAACGCTCGCCGAACGGCTGGCCCTGCCTTTGCTACTCTCAGGATCACTCCTCTCGAGATGGTGAGCGTCCTCGCTGATCCCACGGCGTTTGGCTACGTGGAATGTGTCTGGTATGCGCTCGAGCCGCTGCCGAGCAACCCACAGCACTCGTTCTGCGACCGCTTTGGGCTGAGCATGACCGAGCTCGACACCTTGCTTACTCATACCGATCCGCCCTTCTTCTCTGGCGCATTGAAGGAGCTCAAGTCGCTGCGCGAAAGCTCCTTCAAGGCGAGCATCGCAGCGGCGTGCGGGCCAACGGCACCTCCAGTCTTCAAGCAGACGGTTCGCAGCACTGCGGCGCTCGAGCGCGCTGCCGGCGCTGTCGGCGGCGTCTCGTGCGCAAACCGCTAGATGCGACCACACACCACGCTCACGACACGTCATTCGCACCTCCCGCGTTGCTATACCTCAGAACACCGCTCTGGCCCGCGCTTGTCACAGTCTGCACCCACACAGCGACGTGCGGCTCTGCACGCGCCGCAGGTGGGTGGCCTTTGGGCGGCAGCCGGACGTCACCCCGCAGCAGCAGGTCGACGGCCACGCGGACTCTGTTCAACCCGGCGCCGTCGGCCGCAGAGTCCTCGCTCGACTCGTCGAGGCCCGGCCCGCCCACGAGGCGACACGCGGGCCTCTCGCAGTCGACGATGCAGCAGCAGCAGCGACGCCTGGGACCGAAGGAGACGATGAGGACGAGTCAGCGCTCTGCTCGCTCCTAGACATAGCCGCCGCTCTCGGGGAAGCTGGCGTCGCCATCGACTTCAAGGGCATGTCCAACAAGCGACTCGGCTCCGTCATTCGCCTACCGCTAGGCGGCGCCTCGGGCTCGACGCAGCGGGCAACGCTAAGGGAGGGAGGAGCGGCCATAGTGCGAGGCATTGCTTCGAGCCTCAACCCGGATGGCTCGGGAACGGCGTCCCTGATCGCCGCCGCGCTGGTCCCGCCGCCGTCTCTCGAGACGAGGCAGCGTGTGGCTGCTGACCGCGCCGTTACCGAGAGCCTGGTGAGGTCGTACCTCGACGCCGTGAAGAGGAAACTGCCAAAGCGCGAGCAGCGCCAGCGCCTGTCGGCTCTCGTGCCCACTATCGGTCAGCATGGCTACACGCTGCCCATGCTCAAGCGCGAGCTAAACATCAACATCTCAAGGTGCGCCGCCCGTGCGCGCCTATGCTAGCTCTCGGTGCCCTGGGGAGACAAAAAGAACCCCCTGTCGGTGGAGAGAGCGCGGTGACGGCGCCCATGCTTCGCACCCCGCGCCCTCCGCAGGTTCGAGTACCGCGCGACCCGCCTGCACGCGCTGACCTTTGGCCCCGCGGCGTCGGCAGAAGACGATCGGCCGACGCCTCAGGGCCTGAAGAGCGCACCGCTTAAGGATGCCATCGCCTTCCTCTACTCGCCTGATAATATGCAGCAGGTCGCGTTTGGGACGATGCCGATCCGGCTCAGCAACGGAGATGCAATGGAAGTGCCTGCAACCATGCGGACGAAAGCACGTGAGCAGATCTACATGGACTACGCCGAAGCCAGGCGCAATCCGCGTGGAAAGACGTGGTTCGGACCAAAGCATAAGCAAGGATCCTTCCGGTACGATGGGCTCGGTCGGACTAAGTTTCTAGAGGCGGCCGTGCTAGCAGCCAAGGGCGACCTGAAACAGCTCGGAGCGCTCGACGCCGTCTCGGAGTTTTGCGGCCGTATGCAGTTCGAAGTCCTCCGTAAAATCGTCCGTGAGCTAGCTGCGCTCTGCCCCAGCGATTGCAGCTCGTTCGAGAAGCCTATCTTG